GAAAAACCTTTCTAGTTCTTCTTTCTTCTTCTTTTTTTTTTTTTTTTTTTTTTTTTTTATAAATATCATTTGAATGTTGGGAGGCAGGAGGAAATGGATTGAGTGGTCATCCTATTTGCGGTTGTGATATAGAACATAGGAGAGACCAGAATCAGACGCTTGAGGTGCAGGGTATAGATAGATATATAGGCCTTAAAATAGGTACATTCTCTTAGGCCCCTAGTAAACAAAGCCCTTTTGGTCACTTTCTTGGTCCATCAGGAAAATGACCCCTTGTCATTGTTAAGGAAACTGAATTTGTATCGTAGCATATTTATATTCTGTTAATTTTCACATTCATTTTCTGTATAATATCCAAGATTGTAGTTCACTTGCCTAATGTGATAGGGCAGCACTTAGGCTCTAACTGTATATATACTTTTAATGTATTGGTGAATAAACAAGTTAGCCTTCATACTCCTTACTCTCTGAAGCTACAGTGGTATCAAAGCATTATACTCTAACGAGTCTTCTCTGTCTTACCCATGGCCAAAACCTCTAGAGCCTGCAATAGCACCTCTTCTTTTGGTGTGAACTCTCCAACCCACAATTCGGTCGAACTGAAGGTGTAACATAAGTTTAGCCGCTCCCAAAAGCAACATTGAGAGTAAGGACGCCTTCTATCTGAACAGGTTGGTTATTGAATCCATATATGGGACCATCGTACCTCTGCAACAAAGCTGGATCTAGTCCTAGACTCTTAAAACAGTGAAAATAGATAATGTCTGGGGCACTCCCTGTGTCAACAAGGACACGTTGTACTTCACAATTGTTAATCATAACAGAAGTGACCAAAGGATCAGTATGGGGTGTTACAACTACATCGAAGTCAGCGGGTGTCGAAGTGATGGGTTGATTCTTCCAACCAGCATCATCAAACTTTCTTTTCTAAGCTTTGTTTTGATGCTTCACCTCTTTGACATATAGTTTCCTCTGCTTGGAGCTCAAATCCCCTACTTCCAATCCTCCCGTAATCACGTGTATGATTCTGGCTAGTGGCGGGAGTGGAGGTGGGGTTTGTTAATATCCCACACCTTACCTATTTACTGCAGATGTCATTTCTGTATAAGAGCTGATAGATCTCGGAGGCAAACTATAGTACCAAGTTTGAGCATTACCACAGAGAGTGGAGGGAAAGATCTTGCACATTAATGCATCAGAGGCGTTCTGAGCTTGCATACAAGAATAAAAAGCATGGAGGTGATCATTTGGATCTTTCGTTCCATCATATGTCTCGAGCTAAGGTATTTTGAAACCAATAGGATAAGTTTCCAATGTAATATTAGTGTTCAGAGGATGAGGTATGGAATCAGTGTTATGGTGGGGAGGTGGGGCACCTCACTGCTCGACTACCATTTTTTCTAAACTGTCCAGACGTCATGTGACATCATTAGGTAGATGCTGTTGAGCTGGGGCTATGTGAGACTGACCTTGAGACTCACTAAGAGCAGGAGTATGTTGAATTGGTTAAGGGTCTTGCTGTTGAACTTGGGGTTGTTGAGCAGGGTTGAGTAGATTGATGAGGGGATCACCAGGATTATTCTGAGTTAAGAGCTGAGCCAAAACCAACTGAAAGACACTGAACTGCTGTTGTATGGCAGCAAGCTGAGCTGTGACTACATCTTCTTGGTTAGGGGTGGGAGCTGAATTCTAAGCTGAGTTGTGAGGTTGGTTCTCATCTCCTCCTTCTGCATGTTCAATAGGAGGGAATGGGTTTGGGATTTGAGGTGGGAGGTTGTTGGGATATTGAGTTTGACCCTGTCCAAGAGGTTAAGCTTGACTTCCAGCTCGGACAGATCGAGTGTTGACCATAATGAGAAAGTAACAAAAGAGCTTTTAGTTCAGATTCCCACAGACGACGCCAATGTAATTGCGCCAAACCCGAAGTCCTTCTTTAGTCCGCGTCTTCACTCCGGATTTATCTGCAAAGCCCTGAGATGGTTCTCGGGGTAGACACTCCAATGCTTAAATCAACAATAATCAGATCTAGCTTTGGGGTAATGGAAAAAAGAGCTTTAGGTCGGTTTCGATTACCTTTTTGAGGTGGCCCCTGGGGGGTATTTATAGGCTTTGATGAGGTGTCCACGTGGCTTGTTTAACAAGATAATCGCAATGTGACGTGTCCGTTTAGGCGATAATTTCGGGATTGGGAAATCATGTGTGGTAAATTAAGTGTGGCATGTTCACTGTACTTATCGTGTAACCATTTGACCGGAAAGTGTTGAATTTAACTTCACTTCGGTTATTAAGGAACAATAATAGTACATCTGAAATTAAAAACCTCGGACCTATTCTTACAACTTCCCCTTTCATTGGGCCACATAAACTTGTTTCAGGCTTTGAGGTGAACCTCTTACCGACCAGACTAACGTGGACCAATAAGAGTGAAAGTGTTGGCTGGAGAGTGCAGAAGGCGAGCGGCCCTAGCACTCCTCAAGAATTATACCAGATGGTGATAATTTGTCTGCATCAGTACCTCTTTTCCGTGGGATTTAAATGTTCTCCTAACTTTGTTCCCAACAAACACGGTTATCATTCCGCACGTTCGACTTAAGTAATTTATCACTTGTCTTCTTCCCCACTCCCTTCTAGAATATTAAGATTATTTATAAATTTATAGGAAAAAAAAAAAAAACAAACACGACTGTCATTATCGCTATACTTAAAATTTTAAAATCACGTATGGTCAAATTTTTAGTTTAATTTAATTATTAAAAATAATTAATAATTAATAAAA